AATTTGTATTTTCTAATGATTTTGACGATCATTTTTATAAACTTCAGTTACTTGCAAAGATTCTCATTTATACATTTTTCTCTTTCTTTTCTTTACCTGGGTCCTGGGGATTGAACTCAAGTTTGCAAGGCAAGTGCTTTGCTAACTAAGCCACCTTCCCAGCCCCAAGATTCTCTAAGTTATTCTTAGTACTTCTTCTAATACCACATACATTTTTTATAAGGATACAATAAAATTATATCAACATCCCATTTTTCATCAAAAATTGTTGTTGGCATGAAGATTGATAGTTTATTTGTGATTACATGCTTTTGCTTATGCTCTGTGTTAAACCCTAGTACCATGCACAGGTAACAGACACTCCACCACTGAGCTACATCTTACGCCCTCAACTGTATTTTCATTTTTGCTTACTTTGATGTTGAAAGTATTTAATCAGTTCTTAAAGGAGGATTCCCTGTTTTCTGAAACAAAAAGAAATCCCAACTTCATAAGTTTTATATCCATATGAACATGGCAAAGAGAATAATGAAATAGATTGCTACAGTCTATGTGTAAAAGTGTGACAACCTTTTAATCTCAGACAGCATGTCACCTCTCCTTTCATCAGGCTATTAAGAGCAAGCCCCTGCATCAGAGGTGGAAAAAGTCACAGAACATGTTCAATCAAATCATCACCAGCTATTACTATATGTGGGTAATTCTGTACATTTATCATGAACTATCTAAATCTCCTATAGTGCACGTAGGAAGACAGCCACTTTGTAATTCTGCTGCACAGAATAATCAACAAAGATTGCAACTACAAAGATATTTAGTTTAAAAGAAATAAAGGTGCTTTCTTTGGTTGTCCAGCTACTAAAATTGTGGTAATTTAAAAATTAGCATGCTGTTTGCACAAAGAAGAAATGCTAATTCATGGTGCATTCTATATTTTGAAGCAAAAAGTATTTTATTAAAAATTTTAAAGTGTATTAAAAATGAGCTATCATCTTTTTATTCACATGTAAACCACACCTTCTGCCTTTCTGTCTCTTCTCCCTGTATCTTTCTGCTTCTCAATTTCTGAAGCTAAAATTCTAGGGGAAAACAACAAGGAAGCAAAGTCAACTGATTTTCTAGTGAACTAAATGCAGAGCGCCCTCTAGAGACACCATAGCAGTAGTGCAGTATTTCCTACTCAATGAGCCAGTGTGCTCTGCAGTGTGACTTCTCTGTGTTGGTGGTTGTTCTAGACACAGCCACAGAAGTTTGACTTGTGCATGTGGCATCAGAAGAGTGACATAGATGATCTCAAAACATAGGGAATAAACCAGGATCCAGCCAAGAATGCAGGAGAGCACTAACAGGGTCCACATCCTGGTCACCTGGACAGTCTATCAGAAATACAATTTTAGAGCATTATTCACATTATTAAGAATACATTGCCTTGGGTAAAACTTTGGAAATGTTTCTTCTCACCCAAGGATAATATTATTTTACAAATTCTCCAAGGGCGATCTGAGGACTCAGCCAGTAAAGGTGCCAACGGGCCTGATGGCATCCTGTGTCGCACAGAGTGACAAGAAAGAATTGACTCCCATAAGTAAATAAATAAATATAAAATTAAAAAGAAAACCTTTAAAGACTCTCTGAGCAAGTGCCTTTTCTTCTCCTACTTCTTAAGCCACAAATCTTAATGTTTTCATGAGTATGGTAATTAAAACATTAAGACTTCATAACTTAAAATACCACATAGAATTCCTTTGTTGACTAATTATTTTTCCCTCCAAAAGCCAGGAATATATGTAAGTATCAATCATACTTTTTGTGACACTATTCCTGGGGACACATGAATGAAAATCTACTAATCCAAGATAGGGAATCCACCTATTAGGGTTTCATACAGGAGTACGAGTAAGGCTTCACATAAAAAACAAAAACAAAAACAACAACAAAAAAACAAGAATGACTCAGAAAACTGCATTGCTAAACATCCCAGCATGGGTGATAGTTCATGGGAACTGGAACCCTGAAGCCCATTGAACAATTTGAAGGCAATTCTGGATGTGAGAGTGTCTCTTCCAGGCAATTTAGTTGGTCTGTGCCCCTTTCCAGGCAGTCCTACTGGTCAGAGAGAATCTTTACATTCCTTAATATTAATGTAGCCTCAGAGAGTAAGGAGGAACCCGGTGAGTATGGTCAGCTTCAGGGACTTCCTGAAGCCATTAACTTGTTTCCTTCCTGAGTTTTGGTGAGCATCCCTCCAGGATAATGTTTTTACCTCAAAGGAAACTGTTACACAGCATATGCTAGTAAAAACTAACACGTAGAACTTGGAGCCTTGATTAGTGCCTCTGGGACCACACTTCCCTATACAGGTTGCCAACCCCTGGTCTTTGAACATCTGGAAGCATTTCCATTAAAAAAGAAATGACTATCAAATTTTCCTTGTTTCATGCTTCACTCTTTGTTCTCCAGAATCTTTCCTTTGAAAACAAGACTTGAAACAGAAGATAAAAGCTAAGACTGAGTGAGTGGGCAGGACCTGTGGACACTGAAGGGGAAAAGCACTAATTCTGAATTCTTGTCCTGGCTTTGTCTGTCCTTCGCTGAGAGTGGCTTCTCTGTCACATAGAAGATGACCTAAGAGGGCCCGTGGTTACTCCCAGAAGTGTGGTGTTCTGCTTCTGTCTGTTGAATGTAATTATTTTCCCTGGGAGTTTTCCTACACCAATGCTAATTAAACAGCTATGTCATGTGACCATGAAACCAAGTTTTCTTGTCTAGGTTGTATGCTTACCACATACCAGCAATGCCAGCTAGAAAGATGCAGGCGCCCAGTGAGGTTAACAACGCACAAGAAGTTGTAAGCGTGTCAGGCGCAGGCTAAAGAACATCTGCCCAGGGTTTTAGTCAACTCATGAATAAACAAGGGATGCTGAAAGGTAAGATGGTTCAGTCACAGAACACTTAAAAAATTAAGTGTATGTATAGGCAATTAATGAGGAAGTGCTAGAATAAAAAGGGAATATCAGATACGAAGTTTGCTTTTAAGGCAATAAACCATAACATTTGAGATGTTTTTCTACCAGAAATGATTCTACACATCAGCAGTGGCTTGGCTATGATCGACTAATTAAAATTTAAATAATTAAATGACTGGGTGCGCTTTGTAAACAATAGCATTCAAGAGAGTCATTTTTTTCTGGGGGGGAGTAATGTTTTGAATGTTTTAAAGATGTTTCTGCTGGAAGCTTTTGAACTAATCTTGAAAGCACAAGAACTGCAAATACTCCTAACAATTACCCATCCTCTCTCTGTCCTCTCTGGTGGTCCACTGTCCTGGGAGGACAGTCCTCTATGGAGAAACAGATCACAATTGTATAGAAGCCAGGGGGAGCTAATTTTCAAAAGTCAAATTGGCTTCACACAGTATCCCCACTAATTCCTATTATAATTATGTGATGACATTTTGATGAGAGTCATTTGTGGGGGTAAATTTGTATGCACATGCCTACGGAAGAAAGAGGACAACCTGAGGTGCATTCTTCAGGCAAATTCCACCCTTTTCCAGAACATGGTCTCCCACTAGTCTGGAGCTCAGCAAGTAGACAAAGGTAGCTCTGGGGTTCCACATGTCTTTGTCTTCTTAGTGCTGAGATTGTGTTTGGTGTGATGTGTGTTTGCAGTTCTGGGGACAAACTCAGACGCCAATGTTTGTATGGCAAACACTTTAAAGATTGATCTGTCTCCCCAGCCTCTCTGCCTTTATTTGTTGTTGTTATTGTTGTTCTGTTCTGTTTTGCACTCTGCTGCAAACCTCAGTTCATTGTGTTATAATAAGGATATAACTGTGTGGATGCAACTAATTAAAAAAATTAATGATCTAAGAAACAAACAGAAGCCTATGAAGTTTAACAGTTTCTTCACCCAGCTGTCAGAGTTGTGACTCTACAGAAAAGAAGCAAGCCTTCATTTCTCTTGGTTTTAAGGAACGTTGAAATAAAAACTCAAGGAATTACACTAATAAAAAGCAAAGTACAAATTATTTTCATCTACTTAGTTCTTACATATATTAAACAATATTCTTAAAAATTCTTAAAGCACCTAAATAGGTCATCTCCCAGATAACAACGCTACTAAATATTTTGTTATCTTTTATACTAAATTGAATTTTTGTGTTTTTAAAATTATTTTTCTTTTTCTTTTTAGCAATATATTAAATGTCTGAGTTTCACTTTCCAACTGCACTTATGACAACACTTGGTAACTACGTAACGTCTTTAGAGTAAAACTCTGTTTGGGAGCATCCAGCAAATGCCCCGTGCTGTCTTATCACCAAACCTACCAGCAGTAAAACACTGCAGTGGCTTCCTGTTTTACAAACCAAGCCAATGAGGAGCGCAGAAGAACTTACACTAGGGCCCATTATGCTCAACCTCTGAAGAGTATTTATCTATTTAACTTCTACTGAAGGCTTCCACAGAGGCTTATATGAAAAATTTCAGTCATATTCATAGTGGCATATGACTAGTGACACAGCAACCATCACAATGAGAATAGCAGATAGCTCAAGTCCTAACCACGATGCAATGCTCTTTCCACTTCCACTTAGCTGCCAGCTAAGCACAAGGTGCATATGCCCTCCCCACTCTCCACAGGGGTGACCTAACTCCCTGCTTCCTGTCACAACCTCTCTCCTTGCCTGTCACTTCCCTTCTTTCTATTGTGACTAAAGGCAGTGATGCCATGGGTACTGAAGAGAACCCCTGTCCAGGCCATATGGGTCTGGTGTTTCTCTTGGGCTCGCTGTTCGTCCAGCCTACCGGCCTCAGTGGCCCCATTCAAGGGTCCCCTGTCTTGGGCTCACTCCCGCCTGAGGCTCCTGGCTGAGTTCTTCTGGTCTCTGGCTGGCTCCCCATCTTGGGAGCCCTTCCAGGCACGTGCAACGCCAGATTGGTGGTTGTCTCAGGATAGCTCCTTGTCTATCCCCCCTCCCCTTGTGCTGGACTGGTGACCATCTCAGGCTCACTTTTCTCAGATGTTCATAGGGCAAAACAGTGAGGGTAGATATGGCTGCCCTCCTCTCTGCCAGCTGCTGACACGCATGTGACATCGCAGCCTCACCTGCAACGCCTCTAGCGGCAGGCTTGAATAATTTCTAATCCCTTTTGTCACATGTGATTTTCTGTGCCCTCCTTGCCAGGTGTGAGAGCATGGAGCTTGATGACAAAATACGGGACCTGATAGCAGGCACCCCAGAGGTCACTTCCGGCCACAGAAATGTCCCTTCTTCACAGGTAAGGAGGGTTTCTTTCCTGCGACATCTCAAAACACAGTCAACAATTTGTTCACCAGGTCAGCCATGAACTTCCTTGATGGCTGATGAAGTAGAGCGAAGGAGCAAGCCTTATCCTCCAATCAGTATAAACCCCTGTCAGGGGAAAACCGGAGCAAAGCTCTTGAACTTCCAGGAAAGCCAGAGAGTCCTAGAAGGAACAGAAAAAGGCATCTTTGGTTAAAGTGACCCAATTGGCTAAAATCAGCACAATTCATGCCCACATTTGATGGAGGTTGATTTTACTTCCTTCGCCATTGCTTGAGAAAGGGGGGCGCTTTACGGATTGGGAATTGCGTGGGCCTTTGAGCTCCTTGCTTTGAAGAAGTTTGTCTGAGGCACTGGTATGTGAGGAGAGATAATGTAATGTTATGCTCGAGCTGAGGAAGTGGTGGACAGCTTTCCAGAAAGCCATCACAAAACACACCTCTAACAACCATTTCTAAGATCCAGTGTGAGTATTTTTGTACTCATGGCTGATGTTGAAAACCGAATGCCTTAGATTTTGATCAAATACAGAGAAGACAATAAAAAAAATCAAAGAAATATTTACTGTAAAGCCAATGGGGAACTGGATGACTGTAAAAAACCTTTATTACCACAAAAAGTTTACCTTAAACTCACATGCCTTTTTTTTTTTTTTTTTTTTTTTTTAAGAAATCTCTCAGAATTATACAAGCTTCAGCCATCATCAAACACAGGCACAGACAGGACCCTAAGTAAGAAGCCCCTTTCAGGATCTTTATCTCTGCCTCCCCCCTTTCTCTTTCACACACACACACACACACACACACACACACACACACACACACACACCCGTCTTACTAAATTATCGTTACTCCTAAATCTCTTTGATTCATGTGATAAGCAAACTGGCACTGCATGGAGGGACATTATTTCTTGTCTAAGCCTCACTTCCTGAAAAGCCTATTTTAAAAGTTACCAGTGAACTTTGTCAGTGGTTAGAAAGTTTAAAACTAACCCCTGTATTTCCTCTTCGCATACCCAGTTGTCAGAACATTATTCTTGCCTGACAGAAAATAATCTGCTTTTCCTTCTGTGGCGTTCTTATCTAATCCTAGAAAGAAATGTCCTAGTGACCCTGAAATCCCCTTAGTGGTCTCGTCCTGTGCTTTCTTACCACGCTGTGCTGTGCTCCTAACTAACCCTTTCATTACTCTGTGCAATTTCATGGATCCTGCTTCGCAGAAAAACCTTCCCTGTACCTTTCCCTGCCACAGGGTGACAGTGACGTCTATAATATGAATCCCCCCTTTCATATGTTTTGTTTCTCTGGTCCTTTTCTTCTCACTTTTCTTCCCTCTGTTCCCTTTGGTCACTTCCTTGTAGCATTAGTATTGTTTAGGGGTGTACCTATAATCCTTAGCTTGCACGACTTTAAGACACATCGGCCTCCAGACACATGGGAATTTGTGGGTGTGCGCTGCTTGTGTGCAGCTAAACTTATTGTTACTGCTCTAGTTGTGAAACAGGGAGAATGGAGCCTAAAACGAAGACAAAACTCACATACAATAGCCATCTTTATACAGGGCACCAGGCAATTTATATTCTTAGGGTACTCTGAGGGCTAGGCAATGTTACATGAACAAAGTTCACTTGAGTTCAAGCTGTGCACAGTCACATGGGCAAGGACACATCCAGTGGTTCTCAACCTGTGGGTCATGACCCTTTTCACATCAAATGACCCTTTCATAAGGGTCACGTAAGATCATAAGAAGACACAGTAGTATTCATAATAGTAGCAAAATTACAGTTACAAAGTAGCAACAAAGGGTCACTTCAACACCAGGAACTGAATTAAAGGGTCACTGTATTAGGAAGGTTGAGAACCACGGGTTAGGCCATATACAATCACGAGGACAACTCCTGCCTGGAAACATCATTCCAAACAATAATGGATGGTCTAAAGTAGACCCACTTCTGTTTGTTACACCTGGGAGGGGCCCACTCCAACAACAACCCATGTTATGAAGAAACAGATTACAAGACTTTGTCTGGTTTCTTTGGATTTATTTCACAAGTTCTCAAAAATTCTGCCCCAGCAGCTTCTATTCATGGCCTATGAAGTCAACAATGGGTGTCAATCACCTGGAACTGGAGTTACAGACAGTTGTGAGCCACACATTATGAGCGCTGAGAACTGAATTCAGGTACTCTGGACAAACAGCAAGTGCCATCTGAGCCATTTCGCTTGTGTCAAACTTGGGAGTTATAGGACATGTGCATTTCTTTTTTTTATCAAAAATATTTTTTTTTCACACATTATATTCTGATATCTCCTCTCAGAGTCCCCCAGATCCTCCCAACATCACCCATCCAACTTTAGGCTTTCTTTCTCTCTTTCTTAATTAAATGAGCATATATAAAACAATTAATCCAGAATAAAACAAAGCAAACAAACAAACAGGGGGGAAAATAACCCAAAACAAAAAAGTATGAGAAACACAAACACAGAGATAAAACCCATAAAACTACAAAATCAAAACCATAGTATATAAGCAAAAGAGAAGGTAAGGTAAAAAATGCCCAAAGAAAGCATAGAGACAAACATCTCCAAGAGTAACATTGAGCTTGTTTTGCGTTGGCTGTCTACTGCTGGGTAAGGAGCCTGCCCTGAAGTGTGGTTTGTTATCCAGGGAGACTCTGTTAGAGAAAAATGACTTTTCCTTTATGAGCAGTTGTCAATTGCAGATAGCTTCTGGATTAGGGATGAGGGCTTGTGCCTGGTTTCCATCTCAGCACTGGGAGCCTGTCTGTCTTGGCCCTGCGCAGGCCCTATTCACGCTGCCCCAGTTTCTGTGGGTTCATGTATGCATCAGTCCTGCTGGGCCTAGAAGGCGTGGCTTTCTTACTGTGCTCCATCACCTCTGGCTTTCACAATCTGCCAGTACCATGAACACTAGTCACTTGGTGTGAAGGCTCTATCTAGGTGCCATCTTGAATTCTCCATAGTCAATGAGACATGTAGGTGCTGTTTTCAGCAATAGTGTCTCGCCATCCGTTTATTTATTTATTTATTTATCTATCTATTTATTTATTTATTTTGAGAGAAACCAGTAGTGCAATAGCCTAAGTTGTTTAGAACTGACCATTGGCCCCTTTGGTCAACAATTTAATTAGATATAACCCATTTTTGGTTCTGGGGTTTTCATTTGGTGGTGAGAGAAGTCTGGTTGGGGACCGGTTCTGTTATTTTGTGATTCCGTTTAGATTTCTTTCATACATATATATATATTTTGAGAAGTTTCAACTCCAGTAGGTTTCCATATGACCCCTAAAATATTCTTTAATGTTAGCTGTTCTCCCTGTATTCCCTACCTTCCTCCCCCTTCACTCCCATTTTCTGCTTAACCTTCCTGTTCCAGTCTCCCATCCCTGTTTCTTCCTAACTATATATTCTGTTTCCTCTTCCTTGGGAGATCCCCCCGCTAGCCCATTATTCTATACCTGACCTCTGTGGTTATAATAGTTGCAACACGCCTATTGACAGCTTAAAAGCTAACATATAAGAGAATACATACATGCACAGCCATGCACACGTGCACGCACAGCTCCTTTTTGTGTCTGGAGTTTTTAGGTCTATACATTTCCCTCTGAATTTCATGATTTCTTTTTCTTTTTTTTCCTTTTAACAGCCGAGTAATGAATATTCCATGGTGGAAATGCCTCACTTTTTCATTATGCATTCATCTTGGTACAGTATGAGCCCTTGAAGTTTGAAAGTTGTTCCCCTTAACCTGACACGGAACACAAAGTATTTTCATGCTGCGGAAATTCCTCTGCATACCCTGAAGGGCCTAATATTTGTTCACAGCTAGTCTGGTGTCTGTAATGACAATCAGTTCCAACTTTATCTTGGTTTTACAAATAAATAAATTACATTTCAGAAATATTTTAAATCATTGCCAGAGTCCACAGAATTATAAAGTGCCAAGGATGTGTAGACACTCATGAGCATTTTCCCCACAATATATTGTTGTATTTTGCACATTCTTCTACACTACAGAATGTGCTCGTTCTTCCATTTCTCAAAAAGTCACTCTGTAATCCTTGAGCGGGCTCTGCAATTTCATATGCTGTATCTTTCTTTCTGGAAGCCCTGTATATTTGCACAATGGGTGAACTATTCTGTCCCTGCTCAGATCATTCACAATATTTATGATCATGGTCATGCTCCCACACAGCATGAGTCCTTCCCTGCTTTGGTGAAAACATTTGCCTTCTCTATACTTCATTCAGAAGCTTTACTACTTTAATTCTAGGATCACACATAAATATCGTTTTCTCTGCTAGTCATAGGTTTCTTTTATTATTTTTATTTGTTATATCTAATTTTTTTACTTTGTATATATATATATTTAGTGCACTCATATCATGGGAAGTCTATAGGGATCATAGAATAACTTGAAAGAGTTATTCTCTCTCCACTTTTTCTGGAAAGGATCATCCTGAGTGAGGTAACCCAGAAGCAGAAAGACAAACAGGGTATATGCTCACTCATAAGTGGATATTAGATATATAATATAGGATAAACATAATAAAATCTATACACCTAATGAAGCTAATCAAGAAGGACTCTGGCCAATTTGCTCAATCCCATTCAGAAAGGCAAAGAGGATAGACATCAGAGGAGGGAGAAAAACAGGGTACAGGCCAGGAGCCTACCATGAAGGACCTCTGAAAGGCTCTACCCTACAGGGTAGATGCTGAGACTCAGAGCCAAACTTTGGGCAGAGTGCAGGGAATCTTATGAAAGAAGTGGGAGATAGTAAGACCTGGAGAGGACAAGC